AGCAGCAGCAGCAGCAGCAGCGGTAGTAGTAGTACTATTACTAGTAGTAGTAGTACTACTAGTAGGATTGGCTCGCTAACGCAAGAAATACTACTACTGATTTTGTATGGTGCAAAAACTAATAATTCTTTCTCTTTGTTCGCAAGTACAGGCATCTTTGTAGTATGAGCAACAGCAGTAGTTATGTATTGTAAGCAATAATACTAGTCAAGCTTCTTGAAGAGTCCCTTTGATATCTTTACGATTCGAGTAGTAATACTTGTAGTAGTAGTCGTCGTCATAGTAGTAATAAGAATTGCTGATACTAGTACATTCTTTGTGTTGGTATAGTATCATAAGATAGTACTACTTCTTCAACAAGAACAATGACAATGGAAGAATAACAACAACAACAAGGTTGTTGTTGATAGTAGTAGTAGTAGTAGTAGTAGTAGTAGTAGTAGTAGTAGTAGTAGTAGTAGTAGTAGTAGTAGTAGTAGTAGTAGTAGTAGTAGTAGTAGTANTAGTAGTAGTAGTAGTAGTAGTAGTAGTAGTAGTAGTAGTAGTAGTAGTAGTAGTAGTAGTAGTAGTAGTAGTAGTAGTAGTAGTAGTAGTAGTAACAGTASTAGCAGTAGCAGTAGCAGTAGCAGTAGTAATAGCAGTAGCAGTATGGCAATAATGTGACAGAAATATTATAGCTGGTGGAGACAAGGCCAGCATGCTGTGGTACCATCGTGGTTTGTTCAAGAAGAAGTAGTAGTAGTACAGGTACTAGACAATAGTAGTAGCTAGTACAACTAGTATCACCACTTTCACCAACAAGACTTCATGTGCAGCAAGAGTACAATCTGTTTTGAATGCACCAGGAGGGCGAATTTTACCAAGAAGTACTAGTAGTACTAGTACTAGTACTAGTACTAGTACTAAGCATTTCTGTCTGACCCACATGGTCCTTTATTGCTTGTAATACTAGTACTAGGAGTAGTGATCCTACCAATGGGTCATTCCCAAAACCATCTTTCTGGGTATGTAATCAGGAATTGATTTCAGGGGTACTAAAGACTCTGCAGCAGGCTTGCTGAAACTACATATTCTATCCCCATTTTTGGAATTTGGAATCCTGTATAATTACGCTAATTTGACAAGATTCCAGTGATGCCAACAAGATAGGGATTTTCAGGGAACCAGCTCTGTCTCTAAAACTATTGAAAGCAAATCCTCCTCCAAAACTATTGAAATCAATCCTCCTCCTCCAAAACAACAACAAAAACAAAAACAGTCTGTATCCTCACTATTTGGCTATTGATTTCTCCTTCACAGTAAAATGTCCCCTGAGTTTGTTTTAAATGGCATAGGCAGCTTCCCTTGGAGAGGAGGAGCAGGAGACGTGTCATTGGCTCTCCCTTGAAAATAGGCACTGGCGTGACAAGAGGATGCCACGGATTGCACTAATGAAAGTGAATGAATCACCATCCATCCATATGTTTGCTAGTAGTGGCGACAACCAAGCTCTTCTCAACTGGTGTGGTGTAGACTATCCTGTCTTCAGGAACCTCCTCTCCCTTGTCTTCCAACCAGTGTTTGAGAAATATACTGTGGACAGATACACTGAGCAGATCAGACCTCAACTCTTCATCAAGACAGGCAAATCCAAGGGCAAACCAAGGCGGTATCTGCCACTATTGGAATGGTGGCATTGATCTTGACTTGGTACTTGACACATGGATCAGCAGCTAGGGCCTTGTCTATGGTATTTGGAATCACGTCCACTCCCCTCTACGTGTTCTTGCAAAATCAACCAAATGCAATTGTTAGACCCCCACATGATGAAGAAGTGGAGGCATATGTGGCAGCAATAGGAAGAAAGTATGAGACACTTGGTACAAAGAAGATCTGGGGCGCTGCTCATGGCCTCAAAGTACTAAAGCTTCAATATTCCACCAATTGGGTCATTCAGAGCATGTACTTCAACTCGTGGGTAGCAGACATGTACATTAATAGCATCCATATCTTTGCCCCAGATGGAAAAATCCAGAACATCTTATAACTGCCCTGGGACTTGGCATGGCAGCACCATGGTAGATTGTGGCATATATGACAAGATTGAGGCCATATATAACAGGAATGGGGGGACAGTTGTCGTTGATTCTGCAACTTCTTAATGTCAAAGGGGCCAAATTTTTCATTCTTAGCCAGCAAAATGATCCAGATATTTTCCCCACAATGACTGAGAATGTGCATGCTATTGTAATTAATAGGGAAGCAACAGCCATCCAGCAGTTGTCTGAATGGGGCATGCAGATGATTCAAGGGCAGTTCCCAAGAATGAAGGAGAGGCTTTTACTGGAATAGCTCAGAGATAGGAAGATCATTATTAAGCTCTTGTTATTGTTTTATAATTATCAATGCAGCAAGGTGGGCATTAATCAGATCCTCAACAGATTCATGACTGATATGAGTCGCTTTGAGTCCTTTCAACAGCTGAGGGAATCTTATGCGACTCAATAGATAGGATACTTCTCATAAGCAAGGACCCCTGCTTCAGATGCTATTGGAGAATTCCAGTTCTTGATGGATTGATTTGCTGATTGTCAAGTGGATTGTAGATTGTTGATTGTCAATTGAATTGTCAATTGCGTTGGAGGCACTGTTGTGCCACCATGGTCAAGTTGTTGTTGTTTTAGTTATCTAATGTCTAATGAATGATTAATAGTATTGAATATTGCTACTACAGCAGTCAGATTGTACTCCAGTTGCTCCACCATCAGTCAAGATTATGAAGAGTGAAGGATGAGCTAAAAGAGGATCCTTAATAGCAACCTACACAATACACTGTGTAATTTGAGTTCCTTGCCCACCATAGTGTTGTGTTATTTCTTCCCACAAAACCTGGGACTGGTAACAGAGAGGGAACACATTGCACATGGAAGGAATCCCACACAATTGCTGGCACACTTTGCTTTACATAGAGGGAACACATTGCACATGGAAAGAATCCAACACAGTTGCTGGATAACATGAAGTATTGCATAGTGTTGTTTAGAATATTACGAAGTATAGCATACACAGGATTTAGAAACAGTACACTCATAAAGTCGTAATGATGGAGCAAACAGCAATCAGCAAACAGTAGTTTAATTTAGTAATTGTTATAAGTAAATAACTATGGGATTACAACCATGGGATTATTCCCAACCATTGTCCAAGGAGGAGGAGGAGGAGGAGCAAGAGGATGCTTAGGAGACCTCTTGCTTTCTCTTCTTTTTCTTGCAACGTTGACCAGAAGGGAGGTAAGTGCTGTCAAGGGAATGAAACATATCTTTGATTTCTGTCATGGTTTGCTGATGCTAATCCATGGACTGGTTTGCAAGGGTTTGTTGCTGTTCCCTGTACTGGTTAGCAAGGACTTGTTGCTGTTCCATGGACATCCAGAACATGGATTCAACGTTTGTGTTGCTGCTATTGCTGCTTGACAAGAGTTGAGCAAGCCACACCATATGAGTTGCAGCCATCTGAGTTGTTGTCTCAGCAAGCTGAGTAGGTGTCTCAAGCTGAGTGAGCTGAGCTGGTGTTGGCAGCGTCTCATGAATAAGTTGCAAAGGCTGTTGAAGAGGAGGAGGACTTTCAACCTTGTTGTCAATGTTCTCGTTGTCAATGTTCTCGTTGTCAATGTTCTCACTCTCTGCTAGTACTGCACTGTTGTAATCCTCACTAATCTTGTATCGTTCTTCCAGATCCTCAAATTCCTCTTCTCCATCTCCAATGGCAGCATTGGCACCAACCAATAGCTTGATCTCCTTTGCAGCAAGAAGAAGCTTCTTGATGACAGGAGACATAGTACTATGTGGATTCCCATTAGAAATCTGTTTCCTCTGGAGGGAGGCATACTTCCTGGTGATGGATACCTTGTCTCTTCCAGTATTCCAGTTCTCTTCATGGGTATCAATATCAACAACTTTCATCCATTGTTCTGGTCCAGTAGGAAGGATGTTCATCATGGTTGCCATGAACTCACTGCAACCAAAATCCATATTTGACGAGCCGGCCGGAGGTTTTCAGGAATGACCCAATATTGGCCCTGAGCTCTGTCCGAAAACGAATGAGTTTTCAGAAAGTAGCGTCTGGCCTTCGACGGAACTCCCTGGTACTCGTATTCGTTGTTGTACCAATACTGAAATGACGTAGAGAGTGAGGAACTTCAAACGGTAGGTTGTTCGTCCGTTGCATGAAAAAAAGATGAAGTAGACGCCATAACGATGAAGACTCATAACCACAACGATTAAGACTCATAACCACAATAACCTCATTACCTGATGAGGAGGATAATATATCTTGAAGGCAAGTGGGAATGGGTACCGTAGTATCATTGAAGACAAATTAATGCCGATCAATAATTATCGAAGTATCCCGAACATCCAAGAATAAATAGAACGCAATCCAACTCCTCACGGAAAAGATTGATTTCATCACCCAGTCCGTTTAAAAGATCTTTTCAGCAATTCATTTCCTTTCTGAAGCTTCGAACAAGTAACGCACCTGGTACGCACCGTGCGATACGTCTGAATTGCATACAGGTGCACCGTCTGGTTTTGCGAGACGAGTTGGTCTTGCCTTGACTTGTTCCGCGGGATTCCAATTGAAAAAACGGAAAAGAGCTGCGACTACAGCTACATTTAAAGCATGCCGGGACCAAAGATGGGGCCGCGCCCCCATGATTTCGACGAGGATCTCGTCCGCAGAAGCCCGACCTTTCGCAAATGGGAAGCCTTGTCGGAAGGTTCCAAGCTACGATACGCCTGTCGGGAATTCGTCAAAGGTCACAACGAGGACGAGGAACGATTGATGCGACGGATAATGATTGCCCGTAGAAACAATGTCCGGGATCACCAGGCACTCAAATGGGCGAGGATAATGCAATCATCATCGGAAACACCGACGAATGCGGCAGCAGGAAAGTTGGCCGCGGCCAACAATAAACAGGAACCTGCGTCATCGAACCTGCAGAACGATTCAGAAGCAACTGCCGTTGCCGAAACAAAAGCTGAAAAAATAGACAAAAAGGAAGAAATCAACGGGGACAACAACGTAACTGACAACAATGCTAGCAGCAGTCGCGTCGAAACTGAAGCAATAATATTACGAACATCCCATCTGCTGCAACACAAACTTGGTCCACCACCAGGACGTCGGACGAGGAGACCGACCACACTCATGTCGGACGAAACGATCAAGGAAGAGATGGACGTTCCTGCAGTAGAAGCGACGAGGTCCTATAAAACGTGGCTCTCGTTACCTGACGGAGCAGAATTTCTCTACAACCAGAAGTACGTAAAGGGGCACGAAAGTCACGATTGGTTGCTCAAAAAGAATATCTGGAGGAGGATGCGATATAGACGAGAAAACAAGAAGATGGTGGAAGAGATGCTCTCACGGGAACGAGGGAATCAACCAGTATCAATGGTCCAATTGCAACAACAAGAGCAATCACAGAGGAAAAGGAAACACGAAATCGCTTTATCAGGAAACAATGGCAACGGAACTAGTGCTTCTGGGGTTGTAGATGGCGCCAGAGCCGATGCATCTTTGACACGGTCAGTGGGAGAGGATACAACAACGAATGAAACGAATCGGCAAGAAGTTGTGGCCTCTACCGCTTCCGAGATCGTGGATCACGCTTTGTTGTCGACCACTACAGGAGTTGTGAGTGCTTCTGCAACTACCGCTGCTCCCCAGGCCATGGTACGAAACACAAACACAACAGCCTCCGAAAACAACAACGCACTACCGATGGGGGCAAGTCGCCAGCAGCAGCAGCAACARCAACAACAACAACAACAACACCAAGGCACTTCCCCCCATTCTCTTCACCACCACGATCCGGCCGAAAGTGCCGCGGCCTTTGCCGCTTCGATCGCTCTTGCGGGAAGCGTGGTCGGCGTCAACGGAATCGGAATCGGGGCCCACGGGGACCTGGCTTCCCACCAGGTCACCGATTCGGCTGCCGTGGAAGCCGCGGTGGCCGCGGCTCTTGCCGCTACCGATGCCAAGAGCAATGCCTACCACCACCACCACCACGCCGGAGACCTGGTGGGTCCGAACCACATCCTCCACGGCACGGGCGATCCCATGGAAGCGGGTGCTTCGGCAGCGAACGGAAGCATGCCCGTGGGGGCGGGCCTGCCCCCGGCGGCCGTCGGATCGCCCCGGGCGTCGGCGCCCGCGGCGGCCCCGGCCCGGGGGGACGTCGGGCTGGGACTGGCCCTGGATGCCGCGGCAAAGCTGGCCGCCGCGGCGGCGGCCGGGGGCGACGTGGTCCTGGCGGCCACGACGGCGGTTTCCACCGGTGGACCGGTCGGAAGCACCGCGAAGCAGGGGGCCTGAACAGGAATGCGGGGTTTGGTGGGGCGCACGGCGAAGCAAAGCACGGCACGGGCCGTACGGCAGAAGCGCCGATCGATTCGGTATTGCGGGGCGGCGGTGTGGCAAGGATGGATTCTTGGAGCCCAGAGGGATGGCGGAGCTGCAAGCCTTCTTGTTGGTCGGCGCACCGGGTTGCAACGTTTTGTTGCCTATTTATGGATGGATGGATGGATGGATCACGCCAGGACACATACCATTTTTCGTTTGCTTTGCAAGGGTTCCAAACACGCGCCAAAAAAAAAACAATCCTAGTACGGTACGGTATAGGACCGAACGAGTTTGGTCTCGAAACGTGTTGGCACAGAAGGACGACGCCTCGACTCGGGGTGCGGCCGCAATCGTTTCCCCGCCTTCTCGACCACCCGGTTTGGTTTGGTTTGCGTTCGATCGATGGCACTCGGGTCGGAAGGTGTCGTTCCGGACTCGGAGATCGACCCCGAAGCGTCCTACTGCGGTGCCCTCGAGGCTGGGTCCGTCTGCCATTCCGAATCAAAACGCCACGACGTTTCGTAGGGTGACCATACTGGTCCGTACGGTACTTTACAAAGCAGACGGGATAAATTAGTAATGTATTGTTACAACTGGACAAAATAGTAATGATTGCATGAATTGGTGCCGTCGTTGCGCTGGTGTCGATAGGGTGTGTACCTCTGCGATAGCAGCACCCTACCCGGTCGGGAGTTGCTCGTTCGACCGGGCTTTAGGAGCATCGGCGGATGTTATGCGATGCAATGTCATGCCATGCGATGCTATGCGATGTGCAATATTAGTATACGGTGGAGTTTTGTGGGTGTTGGGGGCGGGCCGTATAATAGCTGCCGTGCGGTGCTCGAACAACCTGTTGCTGGTGGTGTTGCTGGTGGTGTTGCTGTTGATGGTGATGGTAATAGTGTTGCTGCCCCGTTTGTGGGTCGAGCGGGGGCTGCTGCCGGAAGCTGCTCCTGCCGGTGCCGGCGGCGCAGATGACATCGTCAAACGGGTTCTTCGCTGCGGTGTTGAATTCTGTCACCGTAACGGGCGAGCTCTGGTAGGAGAGAGAATTTCTGCGTTTCGCTGGCTGCTGCAGTTGTTGTTGTTGTTGTTGTTGTGGTGGTGGTGGTGCATATAGCTGTGGCTGTGGTGGTGCCGCGTGCGAATAATAGGAGAAAAAGGAGTGACTCGCGGTTCCTCCCGTTCCGAGGGAATTCGGCGAGGAGGACAGTTCCCCGTCCAGAGAAACGAGACTCGGTACGGACCGCGAGTGCAGAGACTTGGAAAGTCGCTGCTGGTCGCTGCTGTATACTGGTGGTTGCGGTTGCTGTTGCGGTTGCGGTTGCTGCATCGTGCTCCTCCGTTCTCCCATTCTGCTCGCATTCGCATTCGCATTCGCACTCGCATTGGTTCGTTCTCCGTGCCCCCCCTTGTGTCCTCCGAGTTCAAACACAAAGGGGAGCTCCGAGAAGGACACCCCGTCGACGAGGAATTCGATTCTGCGAAACCCGCTCTCTACCGTAGTGCTGCTGCTGCTGCTGCTCTTCGCGTGGTGGTGGCTGCCACTGCTGTTGCTGTTGCTGTTGTTGATCTTTCTCTTGTCGAAAAAGGCCCCCGGGCCGTGCGCCACTACCGTCAGGCTTCGGTTCGCACCGGCCATGGGAGATTCCCACGTCCACTTCCAGCCGCCCCCGTCAAAGGGCGTCTTCTTCACGGAAAAGGCCGATTCCTTGGACCAGTGCACCTCGTGCCCGTCGCACAGGACAAACTTCTTTCCCGAGGTCAGGCTCCAGACAAAGACGACCTCGTGCTCCTCCCCGCGGCAGTCGCTCCCCGAGCGGCCCCTTTCCAGGGCCTCCGCGCTGGGGAATCCGAACCTCCAGCAGATCCGCCGCTTCGATCCGGCAAACATCCTGCCCTTCTTGGAGGTCTGGCAATCGATCTGGTAGCAGCAGCCTCCGTTCCCGGCCGCGTCGTGGCTTCCGGAAGGCTTCGTGCGGTCCATGGCCGACACCTTGCGCGGGTTGGAATGGAATGGAATCGAATCGAATGGAATCGGGCGGGTGGAGCGTGTTGGCCTGCACCGGCGTTGGTTCACCGTGGGTGTCGCGGCGGAAGAATCGAAACGAAAGGAAAGGGAACGAATCAATCGCACTCTTTGTGTGTCGGGAAGCGATTGTGTGATGGTGTGACGATTCTTTCTTTCCACTCAGTCGTACCGTCCGGTACAGAATTGTACTGCACCCCGTTCGTGCACTCGAACAACTTCTCTGTCCGGAGCAGCAGTATCGCACGAGAGGAGCCGGTACCGGTACGAGCACTGGTATACTTACGGATACTGCTATGCTTTCGCTAAAGAAGGGTCGTTGCGGAAATATACCACTGGAATGAGAGATGAGTCGTCCGAGCAAGACAGGGGTTACGTGTACGACACCAAAAAAAGAGGAAACGGACGGAGTCACAAATTTCGTGATGTGGTTTTTCCCTATCAAAGCGTCGCCCGTTACCAAACAAATATGCTTGCGCGAACAGTATTCTGGCACAATCGCCGAGCAGACCCGTGCACGAGCCCGTGCCAAACGCGGGAACCCTCCCTCGGCCGGGCAGGCCCCGACAACGTCCCACCCTGCCCGACGAAATCTCGGAACCGTCGTATCTCTCGTACGGTACTGGGTACGGTACGTACGGTACCGTACCAACTACGGTGGCATTCTGCGCGGGTCCCGCTCCAGTCCCAAAACAAGACAAGCCGCGCGCCAAAAATGTGTTCGGGCCGTACGGTGCAAGTACGTACGGTACTCGTACGTAACATCGTAGTGAGGGAGGGGCCAAACTTTTCCGGTACTGAGATAGTCACCTTTCTGTCACTGGGATTTTGGATGTTACCGAGACGACGACAACATGACAACATCATGTGTGTGGTGTAATACTCCACAATCCACAAGCATTCCACACACACTAAACGAGCTCCGAGCCTATAGTATCTTGTTGCTATCTATGTTGTGGCTCGTGCTATTCCTAATGCTATAGAGGCAGAATATGTGGGTGACAAAAGCCAAAAATTTATGGCCTGGGCATTCTTTTTCTCCGATGTACCGTACTCCAATGGTGTTGGATTCCTTCCGCAGGTTTTAGGACTTCGAACGCAACGAAACGCCAGCGAGCTCCTGCCACCGTGGCGAGTACGTACCAAACGAAAGATGTCGCACGGCTTGCCTGCCCAAACCATGCTTGCTTGCTTGCTGCGAGCTGTGAGCGTGGACAAAACGAACGAAACCTCTTGCCACAATCCTCCGTGCGTGCGATGGTTGTTTGTTTCCGTGGTTCGTCCAAGGGCACGCGCGTGAGCCGCGGTCCGTCTCCACCCACACCCAAACGGATTCCGTCCGTCCGTCCCTAGGGGGCGGCGCTCGTCTGGCGGTGCGTGTCCAGCTTTCCGGCGTTGCCCATGGCGTCCGCCAGGGTGGACTGGCGCTGGGGCTGCGTCGAAGCGGTTTCGTTCATCGGGATGTTTCGTCCGCTCGCGTACCCACCCTGTCGGTCCGTCGGGTCCAGTTCCATGGCCGCGTAGGTGGCCTTTTCGTACTGGTTCTTGGCCCGGGCTTCCTCGAGTTCCCTTCGCAGCCAGTGGTCGGCAATGGCGAGCATCTTCGAGGGATGGTTTTCCCGCTTGAGTTCCTGGTATTTTTCCAGTTCGCTCATCTTTCCCTGCCAGCCGCACCTGCCCTCGTTGTTCAGGTAGAACAGGTGGGACGCCCAGTCGTCGAGGCCGTCAAAGATGTGCGTCGCGTACAAAATAGTGGCGCCCCGCTCGTCGCTCTCCTTGACGAGCCACTTGAGCAGGTCCTGTCGGACGCAGACGTCGAGGCTGGTGGTGATTTCGTCGAGGAGCAGGATCTTAAAGGGCCGGACCAGGCCCAGCATGATCTGGACCCGGCGGCGCTGCCCGTCCGAGAGCTGGTGCATGTGCCAGTTCAGATCGATTCCGAGCATGCGGACCAGCTCGTCGCGGCGCTCGGGGTACGAGTTCTGGAGCTTCTCCTGCCAACCCAAACAAATACGTAACGTACGGCGTGCGACAAATCCAATCCAACGCGTCGTGCGGAAGTTTTTGAAACAGCAGCAAAACACAGTGGCGTCCGACAATCGAGAGCAACAACAACTTACGGCGTGAGAGATTGGAAGATTGACAATTCAAACCACTGGTGAAACACCATCGTGATTTCGATTTGTGTACCGACAGATAACAATCAAAATACCTACCATCATTTTGTATACGGGAATATCGGCACAGAGAGGGACAGAGGCTCCGACAAACGCAATGGAGGTCATTCCCCAGTCGCAATTGAGGTAGGCTCGGTGGAAATTGAGCTTCGTTTCGCGGAAGGAATTCAGGCCCAGAACCTTCACTTCTTGCTGCGTAAGGTGGCGTCCGGCGAGGATTCGCAGCAGGGTCGACTTTCCGCTTCCGTTGGCACCGATCAAGAGGCAGCGGGACCCCGTCTTCAGCGTAAGATTAAGGTTGTGCAAAACGTTTCGCTCGTCCTGCGCGTCGAGGGCGCCGGTGCTGCTGTACCCAAAGGTCAGATCCTTGACCTCGATGGCATTTGGTCCGTATTCTTTGATTTTCGGGAGGGGCTTGGGAACGACTCGTTTCTGTTGCATGGTCATTGTGTATTGAATTCTTTTTCGTGTTGCTGTTGCGACTGTACAGATTCTCGTGTGCCTTTATTTTTATGGAGGAGTGGTCGTCAATCAATGATTGGAACAAAGATGAAGAGCTGTTAATTATGACGACAAGTGCTCGATTATTGGTGTTTGGGTACGGTACGGTATCATTGTTCTGTCTTGGTAAAAATTCACCTCCTAGTACGAGTACGTACGGGTACAGGTACACTCTGTGATGTGTGAGTGACTCATCGAAGACGTTTGTTTGTGGCACTGTTACGTTTTACGATGATGGTGTGCCGCCATTTCGCCATGATGTAAATTAAGTAGGGTATGGTACGGTACTGTATGTGCGTAATCGTACGGCACGTTCTTGTTCGCGCTACCTCAAAGGAGACAAAAAAGATCGACTAGATCGACTCGATATTGGCATTGATGATAAACCAAAGATGGTTGTTCCAAACACTAACACCACCAGTACTCGTAGTCTTTTGGAAAGTCTATCATAAAGTAGCATTTCGCAATTCAGTATCCAATTTGACTCCTACTAAATTTAATTACAATGCGAGTACTTCCTTACAGTTCTAAGCCTGAAGCTAACCTTTGTAGAGATACTACGCAATGTGTTGACCGACAAAATGATATCAGCACCAGTAGTAGCTGCACTTCTTGAGGCTGGTCGGTACTATCACCAATCCAATGCAAGTAGCATTACTCGTACTGGCGTATGCAATTTCTTGGACAAGACTGATACGTGTTGATTTGCAGATTCTCTTGCAAAGAAATCACTGATTTTATTCTTCTCCGTAAGCGTTTCCCTTCTCGATCACAATGTTGGCAAAGGATTGATACACCTTGCCCAAACCTTTAGCTTTATTATCTGGGAATATAAGAAATGGTGGGAGGTTACCAGGAGAGGTAGTTGTAATGGAGTTGATGAGACTTTCGGCCACGATAGAGGCAGGTGGTGCAACAGCAGCCAGAGCAGGCAAGTCGGAGATCATATCGGTCAATATTGGGCCCGGATGGATGCTGATCACGTGCACGCCCCTGGCTTGCAGCTCCAGACGCAGAGCCTGGGTTACGGAGAAGGAGGCTGCCTTGCTTGCGCTATAGGTGGTTACTTCTGGGGCAACGCACCGCATGGATGCTACCGAATTGATCTGCACAAATAGCCCCTTTCCGTTGCGCTGTTCCAGCACGGGCGCAAAAGCCTGAGCCAGTCTCATGAACCCGTACACGTTCACCTCCATTTCGTGCCGAAGATTCTCGATCGAGCTTTCTCCTTCGAGTGGCCCCGTGCGCGTTAGCACGCCCGCATTGTTGATGACGATGTCCACGTCGGTTGCAACCGTTGCAACACCGCGGATGAGCTCTGGATCAGACATATCCAAACGGATGGGAACGACAAAACCACCATCGATAGTGCTCCGATCGCCTTTGCTGTCTTCTATGCTGCAGATTCGATCCTCCCCGAAAGCTTGTTTCACGGATTCAATGCTGCGAGAAGCAGCGTAGACCTTTGAAGCGCCGTGCTCCAGAAATGATTCGACGAACGCCTTTCCAATCCCGCGATTGGCTCCCGTAACCAAGACGATCTTCCCTTTCATGCTATCACCAATCGATCGCAGAGTTGGGCCCTGCTCTTGAAGTTGCGGTTCTTCCATTTTTTCTGCCGTCCACTCCAACTACTCTGTGCCATGTTGTACGGATCACCTTCGTATCTTCGGATGGATATTCTTTGGATGCAACAACAAGATTAGGTAGCGTACTACGTACTACTTTACGTAGGTGACGATACGCGTCATGTACTGTACGGACGGTACAAGGACGCCGTACCGTTCTCTTTCTACATTCTGCCTCTTACGACGGTACTTATGTACTGTAGTAGTTGTACATTACTACGTACTCCTACGGTAGAACCGTTCTTTTTCAAGACAGACAAGAAAATATAACTCGGTCGAGTGAGTCGTATAATGGAATCAATCCATTCCCGAGCAAATCTTTCGGAACAAATGTCCCTGACGATCTTAATCTTAAGGCACGTACGGTACTGTACAGTAACGGGAACGAAGTACGAGTACGAGTACATACAGTACGAGTCCTCGTAACCTATTGAAATACAAGTAGTGGTACCGGTGTGTTTCGATTCGATCAAGGGAACTCTTGGAACTTGGGAGATGTTTGCCCGGTGGTGACATCGAACAGTATACAGTCGCATTGTTGGCGTCGAGTACAGTGAGCAATAGAGGGAAGCCTAGAACTATTCACAAGTTGCATACCTTAAGCATTCAACTGACCGAAGTCACAAATATGACCGAAACCAAAGAAACCGACAAGACCGCAGGACGCGTCTTACTCCCTTCCTACGTCCAACCACAGAGTTACGATTTGAAAGTAACCCCGGACTTGACCGCCTACTCCTTTGATGGAATCGTTTCGATTGGCATGGTAACAGGGGATTCTTTCTCCGAGGAAGAATCCAAAAAGATCACTCTTCACTCGAAAGAGTTGATGTACCGCAGTGCCGAATTCCACGCCGCGGATTCCGGGAAGGTTGTTAAGGCTGACGAGGTGAGTTGCGATGACATGAATTCAATTCCTGTGTAATTGTATGATAGGGCGAGCCATTGGAGAGTACAACAGTGCTTACTTTGCGGTATGATATTCTGAGCCAGTCGTTTCCTGCTACTGCATCGATATCGACATTACTATCGTTTAGATTCATGTGAACATGAAGAATACGACCGTGACATTTGTTTTTGCAGAATCCATTCCCAAATCTAGCACCATCACGCTGAAGATCGACTTTGCCGGCTGCTTGAACAACCAAATGGCGGGTTTCTACCGATCGCATTACAAGGATACGGACGGGAACGACAAAATTGTAGCATCGACGCAATTCGAGGCATTGGATGCTCGCCGTGCATTTCCGTGCGTCGACGAACCTTCCGCCAAGGCTACCTTCCTCCTCACCTTGATTGTCCCAGCTGATTTGGAATGCTTCAGCAACATGCCCGAATCGAAGCGCGTGACACTTGGCGGGAACAAGGTGGAGGTTTCCTTTTTGGAAACGCCCAAAATGTCCACGTATCTGCTGGCATACTGCATTGGCGAGTTTGATTACGTCCAAGGAATTACTAAGTACGGTGTGTTGATCAAGGTGTATGCCCCACGCGGGAGATCTGCTTCGTGCCAGTATGCTCTGGATTGCGGATGTAAGGCCCTGGATTCGTAAGTATCTAAGATGGAGTGTCCCATACGAATACTGCGCATTTGATCTATATCCAATTCTCTTATATTCTGCTCTGATCTATGTATGTTCGTTTCACATTAATCGGCTGTTGGCGCTTAGTTTCAATGATTTTTTCGGTATCACTTATCCGCTACCAAAATTGGATATGGTAGCCATTCCGGAATTCGCAGCGGGTGCGATGGAAAACTGGGGGCTGGTGACATATCGAGATGTAGACTTGCTGATTGATCCCGATACCGCAAGCAACTCGCAGAAGCAACGCGTTTGTACTGTTGTGTGCCATGAACTGGCACACCAATGGTTTGGAAATCTTGTAACCATGGCATGGTGGGACGACCTATGGCTCAACGAAGGCTTTGCTTCGTGGGCCGAGAACTATGCCGCGGATGAAATCTATCCCGAATACCAAATGTGGGACCAGTTTTGTTCGGGTGCATTGCAGACAGCTCTTGTTTTGGATGGAATGTTGTCATCCCATCCAATCCAGGTTCCGATTGCTCATGCTGAAGAAGTGGAGCAAGTATTTGATGCGATCTCCTACTGTAAGGGAGGATCTGTGGTGCGAATGGTCAAGGCTGTCATTGGTATGGATGCCTTTCGGCAAGGTCTCGGAAATTATTTCGAAAAGCACGCCTACGGCAATACGGAAACTATCGACCTGTGGAAGGCCTGGGAAGAAGCCAGTTCCATGCCCATTCCCGAATTGATGGCATCGTGGACGGAGCAGATGGGATTTCCTCTCCTGAAGGTGATCGGTGAAGACTGGCAAGACGACAATGTCGTGTTGACACTGGAGCAGTCGTGGTTCTTGACCGATGGTTCGGAACCCCCGGAAGATGGCAATGACAAAATATGGACGATTCCCATCATCTCGTGTACTTCTGAGGGCACGCAGCAAGATATGGTGCTGATGCGCGAAAAGACAGCAACCATTACGATTCCTTTGAAGTCGAAGTCGGATTGGGTGAAGCTTAACGCAGGACAGGAAGTTCCCATGCGGGTTCACTATTCCGATGAAATGCTCGCGAGGCTTTCCACAGCAGTAGCAAGCACGGATTTGACCAGCCCCTCCGATCGGGTTGGTTTGATCCAGGATGCGTATGCATTGGTTAAGGCCAATCAAATCATGTCGCCAGAATCATTGATGAAACTATTGGCGGCATACAAAGACGAGGACGATTATGTTGTTTGGAAAGGAATCGCCAGTTCACTCAGTGGATTGGACTCCGTGCTCTCAGCGGATGAAGAGATGTACTCGAATTTTACTAAGTTTGCGAAAAAACTCGTACTCCCATTGGTGGACAAAGTTGGATGGGAAGCCAAACCAGAGGATGGTCACCTGACTTCTTTGTTGAGAGGGCTCATGATCAATCTATTGTGCAAATTCTGTTCCGACGACGCCAATGTGGCACAAGAAGCGAATAATAAATGCGTGGCCTTTTTCGAGGATCCAATCGAAAACGCTAAGGTGCTCTCACCAGATATCAAGGAGTATGTTTTTATGATCTATCTTAAAAACGGTGGGCAAAAGGAATACGACACCGTCAAAGCCTACTACAACGTGGCCAAGGACAACGCAGAGCGAAAGTTGGTTTTGAATAGCTTAGGAAGTATCGGCGACCCAAAACTGAAACTCGAAACGCTGGATTGGACGACAAGCGGTGAAATCAAGCTCCAGGACTTTTTCTATGCGATCGGAAGCGTGTCGATTTCCGGTAAGGAAGGTCGAACGATCACCTGGGAGTACTTCCAGGAGCACCACGAACGCCTGAAGGGGATGGTCGGCACCGCAAATCCATCCCTCATGGATGCGTGCATCGTCTACAGCTGCGGCCGTTTTGCATCTCTGGAGAAGGCGGACGAGGTGGAAGCGTTTTTCAAAGAAAACGAATACCCCAAGAACGAGCGCCGTATCGCGCAGATGATCGAGGCGATGCGCGCCAATGGAAAGTTGCTGGTCAACCTGCAGGCTAGTGAGTTGTCGAAGGAAGATTTTTGGGATCAACTGTAACGAAGCAACAATGGTTGGTGCAATGCAACATGGCAACATGACGATTATCAGGCAGAATATGACAGCAGTGGATCCTTGTCCGAACAATTAATGCCAACAGCTGAGCAAAAATTTTTGAGGCGATGCAGGAAGCATTGAAGCCATCAAATGTTGAGCTTGCCTCAAGGGCTCACTTGGCAATGTGGCATTCATTATGAAACAAGAAATACTAATTACTTTTGACAAATTATAGATGAAAACAACCCTGATACCATCAACAAGCTTAGGAGGTACATTGAACACTGGCTACAAGGGCTACGTGATCCCAACAGGAATATGTCCAATAATAGAAAGGGATCCAACTAGTTATTTCTTTCTATATTCTTCAAATTCATTGTCACTCACTTTGATGTCCTCCTCCACACTAACATTCGACTAAGTCTCATCAATGCCATAACAAAAGCGTGAGATGGCTCCAAATCTTCCGATTGCATACAAGATTCTCATTTTTAATTTTTATGATTTTTCGACGAATTGCACATGTTGTGTAGTTCATATAAAACAATAAGAGGGATCGCGCTAACGCCATTTCCGAATCAGAACACTAGGGTAGTGCTAGATCTACTCCGTTGCAGCGGCAGCCAACTGACGAAAAAACAAATTCAGCGATTGTGCAGTTTTCAGGATTTCCGAACTCAGCAAGGCTGCTACTGATGTACCACTGGGCACCTTCGCATGTCGTCATGAAATCTTTCAGGTAAAAGTTAGGGTTTTGAAGACCACTATCTTTGCAAACGACACACGCCTCAAACTGTGAAAAGTATTCTGCGCAGCAAGCTTGTGCTTCCGAACACCTACATCGATTCTCGGCAAAGCTACAATCGCCGGTGCAATCACAATAATGGTCGCCAAAACCTTCCGCAGAACAAATCACTTCCCCCTCAATTGGTGTCAACCCCGAGAGTTGGTTCGCATAGATATCAAAATTATTGATGTTTGGCTTGACGTCAAGAAGTTCTTGGCTTATTGAGCCGGTGAGTTGATTATATTTGAGATCAAATTCCTGTACGTTTTTGAGTTGTGCTAACTCAGATGGAATTGTGCCACTCAGCTCATTATAGCTCAGGCCCAACTCCAATAACTCTGTTAAATCACCATAAACACTTGGTATAGTGCCAGTAAGACCAGTACCATCGAAACGAATGACCTCTACATTCGACATGGATCCAATTTCATCTGGTAGAGAGCCCGAGAAACTGTTTGTATACATCCGTATGAACTTCAGCGAGGGCATTTCCGTAAAAAAGGTAAAGAAAGTACCGTTAAAACCATTCGTTGACAAGTCGATCGATTCCAAATTTGTCAACTTTACGATTTCAGTTGGAATTGTACCTGTGAGTTGGTTGTTTTTGAGGTCAATCGACTTTAGGTTTTTCATCTGTCCAATTTCTGGAGGAATAGTACCAATTATCATATTCTCACTCATATCAAGTTTGGTTAGATCCTTCAAGATTCCAATTTCTGTTGCCAAGGTTCCTGCTAGCAAAGTCGAACGTCCTAATTCCAATTCAGACACCCTCCCGTTCACACAAGTTACCATTTTCCAGGCACATTGCCTCTCTTCGCTGATCMACAATCCATTATGATCTACAGCAGTACCGTTCTCTGTCTCTGCGGGTGGTGGAACAACCGGGGCTGCAAAGTTGATGGCTGCCAACGCGTATCGCTCCACAAAATCTTGGCGGGAACAACTTGAAAATCCGTCGGCATCGCGTGCAAGCCAGTCAATGGCTTGGTGAGACGGGCCGGTGCCAGTATAAATCGTGTTGTCAGTATAATTCTCCAGTTTCTCCATAAAGCAATCTGGTAACCTATAAAAGTAGTTCATTTCATTCGCATTGCTATTGCCTCTTGCGATCACAAGAGGATCCATTTTCTGGGTTTCTTCGTCGCCGTGGTAGATTGTGTATTCTACAAAATAAATATCACTTGACCCACTTGTAGAGTTCTTGATCATCAATGAGCAGTTCGCACCATCGTCTACTCTTACAGTCTCGGTATTATTCACCATGGCTTCATCAACGATCAACGTCAAAAGATTCTTGCCGTCACAATCAAGTATCATTAGTGGATTTTGTGGTTCAAACGTGACAATTGGCTCGCCGAATTTTTCTGGAAGGTACACGTTGTCGAAACGGATTGTAATGTCCTTCATTTTTGGATCTATGCAATTTTGGTAGCCGTCTCCATGAGCGACATCAACACCAAAGACATTTTTCAAAGTCCCGACACCGCAATTTGTTTCACCACAAGTAGGAGCACAACAATCTCCTGCATCAAAATCATAGCCAGGTGAGTTGAAAGCATCGTTGCAAACTCCATCTCCAAGGAAAGAGTTACACTGGTTGTCAGTTAAATCGCCTTCATTGTCAAAAAAAAACAGCTCGAGAGGAGTTCCGCTTGACGAAGTCCAACCATCTTCGAAACTAGTTCCAATGTCTTCAGATTTCGAAAAATACAATATAAAACGAAAAAAGTGTTGGTATGCCTGGGAGAAGGATGGAATAAAAATCCATTTATATGTCATAGAAACAACGTACCAAAAGCGTCAGTTTTCGAAGAGAAAGCCAGCTTATGTTCGTCTGGAACATCACATGGTTTCTGGAAGTCTCCGTACTCGTACAAAAACCATTTTCCATCACAGTAACCGAACGTTGCGACCTGGTCATTTGCTTGGAAACTATTGTAGATTACTCTCCCCTGGGTCACTGGATTATTGATTGATTTGGGGTCAATGTCGTAGCATCCACTATACCCTTCAAAACTCGTGTTATCCTGGAATTGGACTCGTAGTCTATTTGTTAGCCAGACATCCGGCGATGCTTGACTGAATGCAACAGCCGATAGCAAAACGAGAAGAACGAAGCCCATGGGGAGAACGGTCCATAAGTACCGAACGTGCTGATATTTACGATAAATGCAAGGTGGGGCTTTCAATTCCTCAATACGATTGGCTTCTTTCTCCAACCTTGGGCCGTATTTTCCCCACTGCGCAAGTTCAAAAGCAACGTCATCTAGTAGAAAGAGGGTTGGATAAGACAGGACGACATATATTTGAAGATGTGACATTGGCGAATTTTCATTTGTTTTTCAGTTTACGTACCGAAGCCAGAAATAAAATTCACGGCCGTGAAATTCAGGATAATGTCAATGACATCCGGAGTTGTGACAACCAAGACAAAAACTACAAGAGAGGCCAACATGCCTTGCGTGAACCGCATAGTGCACGAGAGCCTCATCAGATAGATATTGTACCCATCTCTAGCTTTCTTTGCTTTTGGCCACGTTTCGACAGCGGTTACAATATCCTTCAGGCTCTCGTCGGCAAAAATGCAATATGACAGCAAAGCAAAGAACTGGGTAGCTCTAGACACAGAACCAACCTTTGCTGGGATAAAGCTAGCAAGTACACCGTCGGCGGGATTGTCATTGTCTCCGCTCTTAGAAGAATTGACGACGACGTAAAAAACCAACAAGATTAAGAAAGCCATCTGGAAAGACCAGACACAAAATCCAAATCCAAAGAAGATCGGTTTCTTCACGGGGTTATGGATTGCAATAAAAGAGTAGCAGTCGGCGGGCCACGTTCCTGCATCCAGCGCCCTCTCTGACTCGGTCTCGTCGTTAAAATTTTCTTCTTCATCGTTCTCAATCGCTACATCTTTTTCTTTTTCGACTAAGGAGTTGCCGTTTTTGGCTACACCAGAAATCTCGATATCGCCGGCATCTGAATCATTGTCCTTCCCTTTTTTCTTCCACATGGTGAGATAGTCAATGGTCGTCACGGTGTATTTCGAGTTGCTTGTTCAATGCTGATGCGCTGATCGTCTGAGAACGGTATTACGTCGTTTTGAAATCGGAGACCAGTGTTTTTTGTTCTTCTGCAGGGTCAACAAGATGAGCCTGTCGAGCAATATGTTCCGTTTGCGATGAAATCGACACCCCACACCCCGCTACGTTCAGCTACCGTATTGGACAGTACAGTACAATACGTACAAGGTTGGATGACCATGAATGTGAACGTTTTGCGTTGAAAGTCCGCGCACTTTTTCGAGCAGATTCTCTCGAAAAGGAGCATACGGTATGCGGAACATTACGAGTATGGTATGGTACGGTACGAGTGTGATACAGTACTCGTATCTTTTTGCTGCTGTCACGGTCGCGCGCAGTTGCCGTTGTAGACGGCAGATGAGCCTGACACGCTGAAGGTGACAAAGATCGAACGGTGCGGAGAAGAATTCAGGGGTCATAAAAGAATTTACGTACGGTTCTGTGCCGTACGTACCGTTTTATCCCAACAAGTACCTGTACGTGGTCGCCTTACATTTCAGTAGGCACGTGGCTGGTAGGTCCAGTAGCATTAAAGTATCCTGTTATGAGTAGGCACGTGTCTCAGTAGCTGAGCCGTAGGTCCAGTAGCTTTATGTATCTGGTTATGAGTCGTTTCCTAAAGTCCCCTTATTGTAAACGAACCCTTTCCTATGCCAGTTAGAATTTTCCAGACGTGCAGTACGGTACTACCTCCGACCCACAGGTGATTGCGAGCAGGAATACCTTCTACGAGTTTAGTAACAATTGAAACAGGACTCGCCAGAGCCTAAAAAGTTCTGATTAGAAGTTATGAACTTTTGCTTGTACATCATGTACCAGGTTCTACTGAGCTGTTGTTCCCAAGGTCATTCAATCATGAATCAGGCCTTGCAATCATGGAAGTCGAAAACATTAAAAGAGAAGACTAAAACAGTTTTTGACTGTAATTGGTTCGCAAAGCGGAGGGGGGGGTCTGGGGGGGGTGGAATTTCCAGAAACTATCCAATAGGCTGTTTTTAGTCATATAGCTGGTAGGGTTTTGAACTATAAGAAACATCGTAAAACAATAAAGTTACGAGAATGAGATGCCAGCATATATAACTCATTGCTGGTGGTGGCATGCGATGTAACAAATAACAAATGAAGCACCAATGATGATCGTTCGAACCATGCTGGTCAGAAATCACCATAAAAATGCTACCAAAAAGCATGGAGTGATGAAATCAGGCTTTTGTACAAACGACCATAAAATAAAATCACTCGTACCATACAATTGAATCATATGAGTCTAACAAATGAAGCACCAATGATTGTTTGAACCATGGTCAGAAATCACCATAAAAATGCTAACAAAAAGCACAGAGTGATGAAATCTGGCTTTCTTACAAACGAGCATCGATGATTCACTCGTACGATACCATTGAATCATACAAGTCTAACAAATACCAGTAATAAATGAAGCACCAATGATCATTCGAACCATGGTCAGAAATCACCATAAAAATGCTAACAAAAAGCACAGAGTGATGAAATTGGGCTTTCGTATGAACAAGCATCGATGCTTCATACAGTACGTACGTACCATACGTACTTACTTGTACGAATCATACTCCTACTTTTGAGACCCCATTGCTTTTTTTCTACAGTAATTTTCTACAGGGTATAGTAGTACTAGTACTAGTAGTACTAGTAGTACTACTACTACTACTACTAGTACTGGTACTAGTAGTAGTTGTAGATGGCAGGTGTAATAGATGTATACTTTTATTTACAAGTCTAACAAATGAAGCACCAATGATCGTTCAAACCATGGTCAGAAATCACCATAAAATGCTAACAAAAAGCACGGAGTGATGAAATCGGGCTTTCATACAAACAAGCATCGATGCTTCACACTGCAATGAGTACTGTAGGAACAGTACGGAGGATCACTTGTGGATCCAATCATGAGTCTCTGGGATCCAAAACTATATATATATATATATATATATATATCAATCGAAAAACTATATAGTACTACTAGTAGTACTATTAGTACAAGTACACAAGTACTATATATATATACTACACGAATTGAAGCACTAATATATACAGATCAGTACATCACTGTATATACATACTTCCTCTCTACTAATTCTCAGAACAAGAATTAGAATTCAGAACAGAACTAGTCGATTGGGAGTTCTGTTCCAAAGTCACTCAGTAGTACAAGCAGTCGTACCAAGTCCTACATCATCCGAGAACTCAGGAAAAGAACACATACTTGACTTGTACTGCTTGGATGTATTTTTCTATTATCAATTCTATTCATTCTAACTCACTGAATCCAGCAATAACACGGGAAAGCACGTGAGAGGTGGATTCAGTCTATTTTATTAGTTTTAGTCTCACAATCCTAGTTTAGATACAATCTAAATACTACTACTACTACTACTAAAACAATTCAGTACACATTATTTCATGCACACACCTACATATAGGAGGAGTATGTATGTACTACTAGTAGTATGTGTAAAAGTACTTACGTACTACGAGTCTAACAAATGAAGCACCAATGATCGTTCGAACCATGGTCGGAAATCACCATAAAAATGCTAACAAAAAGCACGGAGTGATGAAATCATCGATGCTTCACTCGTACGTACGATTGAATTGAGTCACTCGTACGATACGAATGAATCATACGGGCTGTAAAATTAGGGTTGAGGTTAAACCGTATCTTGAGGTTGAATCGTATCCTCGCACAATTAAGTTATTAGGGCTAAGGTTATTGATCGAAAATACAGCAAAACACCAATCAGCTGTTTGGTCACACTTCTTCTTTTCTTTAACAATTAAAACACCCTTTCATGCCCTCATACCATGGCGATATCTATATTAGCTAAGTCTCTAGTGTATATTACAGTGTATTAACTTGTTATATCAACACTACACTAACTGCTTATTACACACCTGATTTCTAGTAAATGTACGATACAATTGAATCATACGAGTCTAACAAATAACAAATGAAGCACCAATGATCGTTCAAACCATGGTCAGAAATCACCATAAAAATGCTAACAAAAAGCACAGAGTGATGAAATCTGGCTTTCGTACGAACAAGCATCAATGCTTCATACGGTATGTATGGAATAAAAAAAAAAAATCTTAATATTATATTTAACCTTGTGAACTAGAAGAGGCACTAGGAAGGCCAGAACCATAGCTGCACCTGACTAAGGAGAAGAATGCTACTAGCTGCACCGAGGGGCGGCGCCTTCCTCCGAGGAGGTTTTGTGGAGACGCGACCAAGTTTTATGCACACTGATAGGCCAATCAAGGCCCAGGACTAGACTCAGAGGACATAAAACAAGAGGGTCACACTGCCAAGCCCGTAAGATGGGGTGCTTCAATTCCCAACTTGTAGGCAAGTTATCGCACGCAGTGATCAAGGAGATGTTGGTTCACAGTTTTGCATAGTGATCAACGAAATGGGTGTCMAGCACACTGGCAAGCCAATTAAGGCAAGACAAACACCCAGTGTGCAAGGACACATGTAGTCAAAAAGAAAAATCAAAAGAAAAAAGAAAAGCCAAAAAAAAGAAAAGCCAAAAAGAAAAAGAAAAAAGGGAACCGTCATACGTCGTTCACCACCAAAGTACAGCTGAGCCCAGCCTAGGAGCAGCTGTCAGGGTGTTGTCTTCTTGAAGAAGACACTGGAACAAATAAATCACTTTCTTTTGTCCCTGGTCACGGGGTAAAATAAACTTGGGGATGTTGCTGTTGCTTTCCGGCACAGAGTTCGGAAACAACTGGGGTTGGTGCTGTTGGCTTCMGGCATGGATGTCGGAAACAACAGCAATCGTGACTGGAAACACGGGGGCTTCCAGTCCTTGAGAACTGGGGATAGATCCAGCTGAGGCACTCAGCTGGAGTAACTGGGGTTGGTGTTATTGCATTCCGGCATGAGTGCCGGAAACAACAACAACAATGTCGTGACCGGAGTCTTCTTCCGGTCCGTAAATTACTGGAAATAGAACTGCATGGAGACGCTGGGGAATCTTTTTGAAAAACGGTGTATGATGTAGCATATCCAGGCTTGTTCTTCACTAGGTCCTGGTTGAATACTGGGGGATGGGGTTGGTGTTATTGCATTCTGACACGAATGCCGGAACCAACAACAATCATGACCAGAAAACACTGCTGGTGCTTCTGGTCCTTGAGAACTGGGGATGGGTCCAGCTGAGGTAAATCAAGCAGCTGGAGTAACTGGGGTTGGTGTTGTTGCATTCCAGCACGAATGCCGGAAATAACAACAACAACGTCGTGACCGGAATCTTCTTCCGGTCCGTACTAAATTACTGGAACTGATACTGGAACTGCATGGAGATGCTGAGGAATCTTCTGAAAACTGAGTATGATGTATGATGTAGCATATACTCCAGGCGTTGTTCTTCACAAGGTCTTGGTTGAATACTGGGGGATGGG